AAAAAAAAAAGGTCCAAATGCTGTGCAGGTCGGTGCAGGAAAGCACAACTACTGGCAGGTCAAGAGTGTAATGGCTTTGCCATGCCCAGAAGACAGCATTCCACAGCTCCCCACCTCACCTCCACCTCTTACATTCTCTCTGTCCCCTCTTCTGCCGTGTTCTCTGAGCTTTGGAGGGAGTGATAAAGATGACCTAGCTAGGCCTGAGCACCCAACGTTTTTTATTCTCAGCACTTTGGTCAGCTATAAGCCTCTGCAGTAACTACCACACAGTGCAAAATAGCTCCTCTTACTAAGCCTGACAGCAGCACTAATCTATAGACATAAGCATAAATATTTCGAAGGCAACTTGACAGGCATACCATGTCCATTAAGCAATATAACAGCAGTAGAAAACAGACTTTCTTGTTTGCAGCCCTAAACATGAAGAACATTCCATTTTACATTGCTGTTTCTCAAAATGTGGTATGTGAAATTACTTTTAATAGTTACCTGTTGACTTTTAATATAATTAGTGTGTAACCAATGCATTGCTGAGAAAAAGGTTACATTTTAAAGGCATTAATTCTAAAGATTATTTAAAGATATAACAAAATTATATGGGAGACAGAGAGTTGGCTCCAGAGTTAAGGACAGTTGAGCTCCCACACCCATATCAGGTAGCTCACAGCCATCTTTAACACCAACTCTAGGAAATCCAATGGACTCTTCTGACTTCCATAAGGACCTCACACATATGGCACACACACACACACATATGCACATATATGCATGAACATAAATAAAAATAAACTAAATAAAATGCTTTATTAAAGAAAATTATATGGATCTAAAGACATTAAAATCTATGCATGGATGAAGTTTGAGAATTTATTTTAGATCAGTCAGGAGGGTAAACTGTGATAGTCTAACAGGCCAAGGTGACCTAAAACAGCAAAAGCAATTTTACCTTCATAGTGTACGCCAGCAGGGGTACACCAGCGGCCCAGCTCTCCTACAAAGACATCCCTAGAATAGCATTTCTCTTTAGAGGATTACCACTGAAGACTGTAAAGGGTAAAATATGAACGTGTTCTTGATACTTCTGCCTGGAAATGAATCAGCTTGTGGTTCACTGATACAACACAGGCCAAAACAAGTGACGTGGGCCTGCAACCCAGAAGAAAAATATAGTTTGCTATCTACCTACAAGAAAAGTCAGCCTAACTGTACACACATTAT